TACTAGGACTATGTGGTCTAATGGTTCCCGGGTTGGACTTCCATTTGGAAGATTATGAGTTCAAGCCTTAGTGGAGGCATTATTGGTTTGTTGTGTTTTAGTAGGTTGAGAAAGTATATGAACAGATACTACAATGTAATAGAGCCAGTAACTTTCAAAAAAAAAAAAAAAAATTCTCCAATGTACAAATTCTTTACATTCAAATTCAACAATTGATTATATTCACTACATTGTCTATTATCTTTTTCGTGCACTATTTTTAATTAAATATCAAAGTTATAATACAAAATAATGCTATATATTTATTTACCAAGTATTTTATTAATACCATGAAAAAATTTTAAAAAATATAATTAATAAAGTCAATCATATTAACTACTTGAGGGATTTGTTGACAAAGAGAGTATTCAAATTGTACAACAAATTGAAGTGAGAACTACATCGCAGTGTCCTTATTTGACAATCATCTGTTAGCGGTTAGCGTTAACGGATTATATTAGCGAATTTGACCAGCGAATTATATCAACGGTTGGTAAAAACATATTTGAAAAAATTAACTGTTTAGATTAATATGTAAAATGACCTAAGGGTATATATATAATAATAATAATAATAATAATAATAATAATAATAATAATAATAATAATAATAATAATAACAATAATAATAATAACAAATAATAATAATAATAATAATAATAATAATAATAATAATAATAATAATAATAATAATAATAATAATAATAATAATAATTGTTTTTAAAAAAATAAAAAATATAATTAAGCCAATCATATTAACTACTTGAGAGATTTATTGAGAAAAAGTGTATTCAAATCACAAAACAAATTGAAATCGAAAACTATCTCGCAATGTCCTGTTTGGCAATCAGCAGTTAGCTCTTCAATATTAGTATATATTTAATATTTTATGCCCTAATTTTTATTTGCTCTCCCTTATGTCCCGTATTTGGTTTCAACCATACCTATACAATTATTTTATTGACAATTATAATCAATCTTGACTATATTATCTTGCATTTGTAAACTTAGAATTGCATATTTAAATACGCAAATTTAACATTCAATTATCTATGCATGAACAATTCCAATATAATCTTGCCTTGATATACTTTAAAAAACATTGGGCATTATCCCAATCGCGCAATGCGCATAAAAAACTAGTATGATTAATAATGTAATAGGTTAGGTCTCGGTGGCTTTCCTGTTAGATAGGGATACTTTACGTTAAGTTGTTTTAGCTATTAGTATTGTATTCCTATTCTATTGTAACTGAATAACATAATCAATCATCTCATCTGGTATCAGCTTGATCGGGTTCATCCTCTCTCATATCTCCTCCCATCACCACCATCGATCGTCCCCCCCCCCCCCCCCCCCCCCATACACAAGCCGATCGGTATAGTCGTCGGTATAAAAACTAACCACCATACACATTCCTATGTGTCTTTGGGTGTCGGTGTTACCCTTATCTACGGTCCTACAATCAGCACAAGATAGAGTACCACTCGATACCGTCTGTCTTTCTAGGGTATCCTCCTTCCTTTAGGGGCTATAGCTGCATAGACCTGTCAAGCGGAAAAGTCTATATCTATCGTCATGTACGCTTTGATGAAACTTGTTTTCCCTTTTCAGAAATGGCTACTCATAACACGGCACCACCTATGCCGCCCGCGCTACCATGGGCTTCTGGGCCGGTTATACCACAGCTCCAGCATGCGGGCCATGCACCGTCTGTTCCTGACAGTCCGGTACCCTTTGCTCAGGATCCCGCTCCCTTGGCTATTGAAGGGGCTGTGAGACCTGTGCGTAGGATTCGGGCTACACAACCCGGGCCTCAAGAACGAGGGCATGTGATGAGGCTTCGCCACATGACCCGAGGCACTGGTGAAGAATTCCATGCTCTAAGTGCAACCGCTGATCCCACCTGCTATTCACAGGTTGTAGGGCATCCATATTGGCGTGATGCTATGGATCAGGAGTTTAATGCACTATTACATAATAACACATGGATTCTTGCCCCGGCTGAGCCGAACATGAATATCATTGGGTGCAAGTGTGTCTTTCGCACCAAGCGCACCGCCGATGGCTCAATAGAACGACACAAAGCCCGTCTGGTTGCAAAGGGGTTAAATCAGGTGGCGGGCGAGGACTTCTTCGACACCTTCAGTCCTGTGGTCAAACCAACTACGGTCCGACTGTTGTTTTCTCTAGCTATTTCCCACAGCTGGACGCTGAGGCAGCTAGATGTTCACAATGTCTTTCTTAATGGGCACTTGGATGAAACTGTTTGTTGGGCGTCGGCTGGGTTGGCCGAGTTCAGCCCCTGCTCGATTCGAGACGTGTCGCTGTGGCTTACCATGGAGAGATGTTGTTAAATGGTTAATGTCCACCTACCTATCACCAATTGGTTTTAAGTAGGATATGGCAACCAGGTACCATAGAACTCTGTGGTTAAGCGTGCTTGACTTCCGGCAATCCCAGGATGGGTGACCAACTGGGAAGTGAGCATAGTGCAGCGCTGAGATCCAACAATTGGTATCAGAGCCGAGGTCACGGGTTCGCATCGATGGCGAGGCAAAAGCCGAGTCCAGTCCCAGGTGGGATGTGGGCGTAGGTCAGGCCAAGTCCAATCCCAGTGGGGGATGATGGGCGCGTAGGTGCTGGGAGGGGGATTGTTGGGCGTCGGCCGAGTTGGCCGAGTTCAGCCCCTGCTCGATTCGAGACGTGGCACTGTGGCTTACCATGGAGAGATGTGGTTAAATGGTTAATGTCCACTTACCTATCACCAATTGGTTTTAAGTAGGATATGGCAACCAGGTACCATAGAACTCTGTGGTTAAGCGTGCTTGACTTCCGGCAATCCCGGGATGGGTGACCCACTGGGAAGTGAGCATAGTGCAGCGCCACGTCTCGAGTCGAGCAGGGGCTGAACTCGGCCAACCCGGCCGACGCCCAACAATCCCCCTCCCAGCACCTGCCGCAACCTTTGATCACCAAGCCCAGTTGTGCAGCATGCCGCAGGGGCTGAACTCGGCCAACCCGGCCGACGCCCAACAATCCCCCTCCCAGCACCTGCCGCAACCTTTGATCACCAAGCCCAGTTGTGCAGCATGCCTGACTCGGTTAGCCTACGCGCCCATCATCCCCCTCCTGGGATTGGACTTGGCCTGACCTACGCCCACATCCCACCTGGGACTGGACTCGGCTTTCGCCTCGCCATCGATGCGAACCCGTGACCTCGGCTCTGATAATGAAACAACCACCGGGGTACGAAGATCCGACACACCCAGATCACGTGTGTCATCTTCAACGGTCTCTGTATGGACTCAAGCAAACCCCACGAGCGTGGTTCAAGAGATTACATGACTATTTAATTTTTCTACAGGTTTTTTCCCTTCCAAAACATATGTGTCCCTATTCCACTACTCCGCTGCCACTTCTCGGGTGTACTTACTCGTATACGTGGACGACATCATTATGATGGGAAATGACCCTACTCTAATCACCACTCTTCTGCGTCGCCTATCTGCGACTTTCAAAATCCGGGACCTCGGGACTCCTTGGTTCTTTCTTGGGATTGAAAATCTGAAAATCGAGTCTGGGTTCCTGTTGTCTCAACGTCGCTACATGAAGGACATTCTGACTCGAGCTGGTATGACTGACTGCAAGCCACTAGCAACTCCAGCAGCTGTCAGTCAGCCGGTGTCTCCTTTTGACGAATCGTATGACAATCCGACTCAGTACCGACTCATCGTGGGGGCTCTGCAGTATTTGACTATCACTAGGCCGGACCTGTCCTACGCAGTTAACCGCCTGTGTCAGTTCATGCACTCGCCCACAACTGATCATTGGGGCTTGGTAAAATGAGTGCTACGATGCATCAAAGGCACTCTAGACTACGATCTGCAGCCATGCCTTCTCAGGCTCAGACTGGGTAGGCTGTCCGATCGATAGGAAAAGCACCGGTAGCTATGCTGTGTTCTTGGGGTCCAATCTGGTCTCCTGGCTATCCCGGAAGTAGCGCACAGTTGCCCGCTCGTCGATTGAAGCTGAGTACAAAGCTCTAGCTGATGTGTCTGCCGAGGTCACATGGGTTGTGTCTTTACTGCGTGAACTGGGCTTCACTCTGGGGAACCTCCTACGCTCTGGTGTGATAACTTGGGCGCTACCTACCTATGTGCTAATCCCATCTTCCGTGCCAGAACCAAACACGTGCAGATTGATTTCCACTTTGTCCGTGACAAGGTCACCTCTGGGGATCTGCTGGTTAATTTTGTGTCTACTAAGGGTCAACTGACAGATATTTTCACTAAACCGCTGCCGGGGCCGAGGTTTGCTACACTTCGTGACATGCTCACCTTGTGCTTGAGGGTGTGTGTTAGCAATGTTATATTTATGTTACATTTATGATTAATAATGTAATAGGTTAGGTTTGCTTTCCAGTTAGATACGGATACTTTACGTTAAGTTGTTTTAGCTATTAGTATTGTATTCCTATTCTATTATTGTAACTGAATAACATAATCAATACTTTACGTTAAGTTGTTTTAGCTATTAGTATTGTATTCCTATTCTATTATTGTAACTGAATAACATAATCAATTATCTCACCATATCACCTGTAAATAATATAGAACAAACACTTTATTATATGCAAAAGCAATGTTCAAATTCAGCACACTAAGTGGATGGGTAGGGATCAAACCCCCAACCTCTTTCTTAAGAGATGAGGTGCTGAACCACCACGCCAACCATGTTGATTTTTTTTTTTTTTTTTTGTTTTTCTTTTTAAACTACTGGTTACCAGGGTTGAAAAGTGTATAATCCTGATATATTTTGAAAATACAGGCATCAGGGCCGGTCCAAACATTTTATAGGCCCGGGGCAAAATTTTAAAAACGGGCCCCTATATGAAAAATTTAAAGTTAATAATACTGAAAAAAAAAATTAAGAATATCAAATAACAAGAAATAAGATTAGAAAATTTTCAACAATTTTTTTAATACAAAAATAATCATGACAAAAAATTTATTGATGCAAAATCATCCATAATTGCATCAAGATTAATATTTTCTAGCATATCTTTCTCAATACACAAAATCACCAAACCATTCAATCTTTCTTGTGACATTTGAAGATCTCAAGTAGGTTTTCAATAACTTCAATTTTGAAAAACTTCTCTCCGCTGATGCTACAGTCATGGGTATTGTCAATAATATTCGATAAGCAATAGAAACCATTGGGTAGCAATCCGCAACTTTGACAAACTCAAGAATTTCAATCGCTGACATTAATGTGTTTGGCAAAGTCATCTGTAACACTTTTAATTCAAAGAAAAGATCACCCGAACAAAAGCACCTGGAACTTCAATACTGAAATAGCCAATCAACAATCTTTATTTCTACCAATGGGTAAACATGTATCTTCAATCCCTACATAAATAAATAAATAAACACATTACACAACTTACAAAATAAAATGAAATACAATAAAAGCAATCTTCATATAATAAACCTAATAAACTTACAATTTCATTATACATAAGAATCCTAAGAAATATAATTAAAAGACAAATAAAATTCCTAATTCCCAAGTCTTAAACAACAAATCAATAATTCCTAATTTCAAAATGTAATCTGTAATTCATTTTTCAATTTCATTAATCTGCATTTTTTTTTTCATTTTTTTTATGTAATCTGCGATTCAAAATGTAATCTGCAATAACAATTAACATTCAGATTACAATTCTTTCTCAAATAACAACATTGAGTATTGTAATCTGCAATAACAAATAGAATCGTATTTGTAACAACAATTAACATTCATATTACAATTCTTTCTCAAAATGTGAATCATTCAGATTCAAAATGTAATCTACGATTCAAAATTCTTTCTCAAATAACAATTCCTAATTTAGAATGTAATCTGCACTTCCTAATTTTGTGAGAATATAATTAGTAATTCCTAAATTCTAACAATTAACAATTAACAATTCCTAAATTCAGATTACATTAACAATTAACAATTAGCAATGCCTAATCTGTAATTTTAAACCTAATCTGTAATTCATTTTGTTTTTAGAATGTAATATGCAATTCCTAAATTCTAAATTCCCAAGCCATAAAATACCTTTGCAATTGAAGATCACTGAGATTAGGCCGGCAAAGGCCGACGGCGAGGGCGCGAGACAGAGCCACAGAGGACGGCGACCTGGTGAGTGGCGAAGACGAGGCCGAGGGCGGAGATTTCGGCGAACTGGAGAGTGGTGAAGGCGAGGTAGAAGACTGTTATTTGGCTTCTGAGGTTTTAATAACTTCATTCTTACTATTGGAAGAATTGAAGGGTTGCTATGGACTGTGGTGTAGGTGCGAAGCGGCGAGGCAGAGGGCGGCATCACTTCTTCGTATTCCCGTCTTTTCGTCTTACGTCTTCCGTCTTCCACTTCCTCTGTTATTTATTTTTTTTTAATAAATATTAACTATTAAGTACGAAGTATTATAATATATATAATATATAATATATTGCTATATTATCTATGGGCCATCCTATATACTTGGGCCCTGGGCAGGTGCCCAGACTGCCCATGCCCCTGGGCCGGGCCTGGCAGGCATCACCTTGCCTAATAGCAAAGTAGTCCTAATTTCTTTCTTTCCTTAACGGGAAAATAACGCTTTTCCTCCTAATGCATTAATTACTTTGCATAATAACTGAAAAATTGCAATCCAGTGGTCCCAAATTATTAAAATTATATTCTGTAATAAGGTAATAATTTTTCGTCTTTTTAGTAATTAATTGATCTTTATAATTCCTTGTGTACCATTTTACTTTAAACTAGTATTTCTGCCGTGCGATGCACGGAATGGATTTGTTGTAATATATTAAGAATATTTGGATCGATATATAATTATTTAAATTAGAACATCAAATATTATATAGTGCAATTAAAGATATATATGGTTAGGATCGTTTATGTGTTTTGATGTTATCATTGCTTAAATTCATCTCCAATCTATTTTATTCATAACTTGTCTCCCTATTTATAATTGTAAAATTTTAGTAATTTAGGACTATAATCCCCAAAATAACTAAAATCCCAACAAACTACAAATAAATAAATACAAAATTAATCGTAAGATAAATACAAATAATAAATTAAAATAAGCATAACAAACTAAATCTAAAATAGTTATCCTAATTAATTTAATTATTCTAATTAAATAACAAAACTAGTTATAAAATAATCCAATGGTAAATTGTTGCTTCCTGTGGTCACAACAGTAGGCCTAATATATATATATATATATATATATATATATATATATATATATATATATATATATATATATATAGGGACGGAGCCAGGACGGAAGAGTGCGGGGGGCCAAACTACTATTGAAGTACTAAATCAAATACATTGATATCCCGTTAACATATCTCAAAATAATCATTACATTACAAATTCAATAAAGTTTAGAATAAATTATTTATAATTGAATCTATATTAAATTATTTTGCAATATGCTTTTCAATACACATTACTTTGTACGGTTGAAAGAATGAAAACATTCACGCATGTTTTAAAAGACTATTGATTATTTCTTGAAAAACCCTCTTCACAACATAACATAATAGCAATTGTTTTCTCAAATCCATATACTACACAATTGTTACATTATTATGCATTTTAAATTAAATACAAAATTTATCACACAACCACAAATTTACATAATTAACCAAACAAATGCACTTGATATCCATGATTTAGAATCAAACAAAACAATTATTTAAGATAAACAATAGAATATGAAACAAAAATTAACCAAACAAGTAGTTAGAAATAAAAATAAAAAATAAAAATTAACTTGAAAAATATGCATAGATTTTGTTAAAATGACAAATTATCTTATTATAACGTATATGCCGCATATATGCATGGTTCTAGGCAGAGAAACTAGTAAGTAGGTTAAATGAAATTTAATTTGAATGTGAGTCAACAATATATGGAATACATAATTTGAAATAGGAGAGAACTGAAAAAGTTGAGAAGATGAAAAAATTTATAATTTTACCTGTAAGATTAATTAAGTGGAGGGGGGCCAAATATTTTGAAAAAATAACAAAATTTTAAAATTCTATATAATATTTTTTAAAAAATTTAATACGTATATAATATTAAAAATTTTGGTGTGGGGGAGGGGGGCCAAGGCCCCCCTAAGCATATACTTACCTCCGTCTCTGTATATAATATATATATATATATATATATATATATATATATATATATATATAAAATAAACTTAAATGTAATAATTGTATTAAATTATATTATATTATATTTTGAAAGTGAGTTAAAATTATAAAGATGTAGAAAAAAAATAAAAAAGTACAGCTTAATATATTTATGTACATAAACATTATATTAAAGTAAAAATTTTATGTACATATAGATTTATTTTTTTTAAAAAATATCAATATGGAGTCGTTTAAAAAACTTCAATAAGAATTTTTAATGTTATACTTTTAATACATTAATTTTATTTGTGAAAAAAATAAATTTGAAAAAAATTTAAGAAAGAAAAATTTGGAATAATGTGCATGTTATGTGCATGCACGTGGCCGGCACTGGCCAATGAATCCCATCCAATTCCATCCGGAACAGAAACATGAATCCCAAATCCACAGGGAATAGATTGAATCCTGAATCCCAATTCTACTCAGAATACAAATGAATTCCAGTATTATACATATATACCAGTACGTACCGATCTTCCAGCCAATTCAACTCTTCATCATTTGCTTCAATTCGCGTTCCGATCCAGTGATCGAATTTCACTTTCAAGAATGGGAGTTAGAAGCGCTTATGAGAGTAAAGGAAAACTACTTCAAGAGGCCGCCGCTGGCACGGCGAGAAAACTCGCGAAGCCAATGTTTAGCGGCAACCGGAAATCTCAACCACCGCCACCTCCTAGGTGGAAGATGGCTACGAGAAAAGGCGAAACCCGAGCGGTTTGGCGGCCGGCGGTTCCATCCTGGGAAAAGGAGTTTTGCTTGAAGGCAACGACAGGGCTGTTCCCTACCTAGGATAAATTCGTAGAGGCCAAGAACTACGTCCACCTTTACGATAACATCATGCAGTGGGACGACAAGGAGGCGCAGGAATCATTCAACCGTTCTAAAACCTTGTTCTATGCTAAAAAATTTAACATCATTAATAATCTCGAAACTAATTTAACTCTACTTGAACCTGATTTTTATATCGATAAAATCGACTGGGACGATGATTCTAAGATTGATGATTCTGAACTCATGAAGGAATTAGGGCCAACTATTGACGAAGAAGAAATGGAGGAGACTAGTAATCCAACAATAACTCAATTAAAGAAAAGTTGGGAGATAGCAATAGAGGACATCAAACCTACTGGGTGGGATGTTGACCCAAAAGAATTTATGGATGCTAATAACCTTACCGGTCTAATTGTTGGTGGTCTAGCTCCGTGATTTTATTTACTTTTATTAATAGTATAGTTTAATTTCATTTTGAAATCATTGGTTCACATATTTGAATTATTTATTTTTTCTTTAATTATTCTCACTGTAAACATAAATGATATTGCAATAATTAATTTATGATATTTATATTTTTTTTTGAATGCTACTAGCTCTATTAGATTGTAGTATCTGTTCATATACTTTCTCAACCTATTGAAACACAAAGAGCTAATAATGCCTCCACTGAGGCTTGAACTCACAACCTTCCAAATGGAAGTCCAACCCGGATACCATTGGACCACATAGTCCTGGTATTTATGATATTTATATAATTGTATCGTTTTTTAAATATAAAATTTTCACATGTTTGGGGTTTAAAAAAAATATTTTAATTTTTTTTTATTTTTAAAATATAGTCATTTTATTAAGGAAATTAAAACTAATTAAAATAAATCTAATCATGCTATATTTATTTGTAACTGTATATTAATTTCATTTTGAAATCATTGGTTCACATATTTGAATTAGTTATTTTTTCTTTAATTATTCTCATTGTAAAAATAAATGATATTTTACTAATTAATTTATAATATTTATGAAATTGTATTTTTAAAAATATAAGATTTACACATGTTATATATGAAGGGTTAAAAAAATATTTTATAATTATTTTTTATTAGAAAGTATTTTTATTTTTGAAATATTTTCCAGCAATACAAACACTCTCTTAGTCTCTCATCAAAACGGATAAAGAAAAGTCATTTCATTAAGGAAATTAAAAATAAATCTAATCATGCTATATTTATTTGTAACTGTATATTCATTTTATTTTAAAATCATTGGTTCACATATTTGAATTATTTATTTTTCTTTAATTATTATAAACAGAAATGATATTGTACTAATTAATTAATGATATTTCTCAAATTGTATTTTTAAAAAATATAAAATTTACACATGTTATGAAGGGTTAAAATAATATTTTAAAATTATATTTTACTAGTAAGTATTTTTATTTTTAAAATATTTTCCAGCAACCCAAACACTCCCGTAGGGCAAATTATACTGTGGACAACGGTCTATAATGCATTGTGGTCCATACATCAAATATGCACTACAGTTACAATTCAACAAAACTACAGTATCATTTTGATATAATATAGTTTCGCTGGACATTATACACTCAAATTTGTGAAATTATTATTCAGTTTCAATTTTTTATACACTGCAGTTTCATTTCAACACAATTACAATGTCATTTGATAATATAATAAAAAATAATACGTGGGACAGTTTCAGTTAAGATACACTATAGTGTCTGTCATTTTGGACCATGATCCACAAAGCTTTGTGGACCGCGGTCCACAGTATAATTGTTGCTCCCTTAGTCTCCCATCAAAAACTGATAAAGAAAAGTCATTTCATTAAGAAAATAAAATTAATTAAAGTAAATCTAATCATACTATATTTATTTGTAATGGTATATTAATTTCATTTTGAAATCATTGGTTCAAATATTTGAATTATTTATTTTTTTCTCTTTAATTATTATAAACAGAAATGATATTTTACTAATTAATTTATAATATTTATCAAATTGTATTTTTAAAATAATAGTGTTTTACTCGTGTGTTTGTTGCAGGGAAATTTTTTTTGTTATTATGAATTTAAAATTATAA